AGTATCAGGAAGGACTAGTCCCTGGAGAAGGATATCATGTTTGGTAAAGTGAAGGGTCAGAGAAACAGAGGAAGACCCTCAAAAAGATGGATTGGCATAGTGGCAGCAACAATTGCTCAAACATAGCAACAATTGTGAGGTTGTCACATGTCTGGATGGTGTTTCGTTCTGTTGTGCATGTGGTCACTATGAGTCGGTACCGACTTGGTGGCACCTAACAACAATGATAGCATGTATAAAGCCTTGCTCTGACTGCTTTTCAGCATTTAAAAATCTACAGCCAGTATTTTGAAACCTATAATTTATGTTAATTGTATTTCTGCCCTCTGTAAAGAAAAAAAAGTTTAAAGTAAGGATATGATTGTTATTGTTAGATGACGTCAAGTTGGTTCCGACCCTTAGTGACCCTGTATAGAGTTTCCGATGCCCTATATCTTTGCTGGAGCAGAAAGCCTCATCTGTCTCCCACGGTATGACTGCTGGGCTCCAATTGCCGACCTTGTAGTTGCAGTCCAGAGCTTATCCTACAGAGCCACCACCCTCTAGTCTAGGAATTTCATAACCATACATTTCCTGTTTCTGTTTAAGATATTTTGGGGTTTGGTTTGGTTTTTAAACTCTGAGTTGAGTAGAGGTTTACAGAGCAGATCATCAGTTTTACATTCAACAAAATCATGCGTTTTATTTCATCTCAGTGATTGCAGTTCCTTCATGTAACATCAGTCACTTCCTCCCTGTGTTATCTTGTTTCTATTCCTCTTCCTTTCCCAACCCTCTGAACTTCGTCCTTGGGCAAATGCTGCCCTTTTGATCTCGAATGGGAGACCTTTCTATGGTGTGCTATCTCACTAATGTTGTTGCCCTCCGCCCTATATGCCTGTCTGTTGCTTGGCTGAAAATGCTTGAGATCTTTTCAAATAGCCCATTTAAGTTGTAGTCATTAAGTAGGGGCCTCAGGTGCATTCAGCTCAAACAAAGGTGTTCTCTGCCACAGCTTATGGCTTTTCATCTTTTTTTCACATGACCTGGAGAGATGTCCTTAGGATAGCCACTTCTTTTGCCATGCAAACAAAGTACTTCTTTGATTGTAGTTTGTTTCTGGGGTATCTTGATATCAGGAAGTTGGTCTGAAAAGAGAATAATCCCAAGAGAAGGATATCCATCTTTAAAAACAAATGGACCTTTTGCTTTCTGCTTTTTAAAAGACATATAATAATGAACAACGTAATGTTTTAATAATTATTTTACTTTGTGCTTTCCCTCAGGAAGAGTTTCAAGAAGTTTTTAATCAAAATGTAATGATCATTGCTGCAACAAATAGACCTGAAATGTTGGATGACGCCTTGTTACGGCCTGGAAGATTAGATAAGATTATTTATGTTCCACTTCCAGATCAGAAGGTAATCAGTGCACCCACCCTTACCGGGTATAAAGCATTCTGAGCAGCAGGCCAGCAGTGGGGCTCCTGGGGGCTCAACAGAGTCAGATTCCAAACTGGGTCCAGGCGTGCACGGTGTCTTACACCACATGCACTTCCTCGCCTTCTGACCCTTCATGAAATCCCAGGGCTTTGCTGAGTGCTCTGGCTTGGCTCTGTTTTCAGAGAAACAGCCTAAAAGTAAGGATCTTCCCTTAGTTAGTGCTGTGGTAGATTAAAAATAGTGTTGTGAGTCTACTCAATAGGATTTTGCAACTAGAATGGAAGAATCCTAAAGTATTAAAGGAGCCTAAAAGAGTTTTGGAGGTTATCTGGGTCAACATCCTTATTTTATTTACAGTGGAGAAAAATTGTGCCTGATATTGTTATGTTTTTTCTTAACCTATGTCATATGTCACTGTTTGTACCCAAAAGAGAGATTCATCATGTCTATTAAAGAGATAAACTCCTAGTTGGCAATTAAAAAAAAATAATTATGAAAGTATTAAAATTCTACTGATTACCTGAACTATTTTTATCATTGTTATAGAGGCACTGTTAACCTTTTTTTTAACCTCTTAAGAAGGATTTTTTGTGGCTTGTTTCTCTCTTTGAGTATTGTTATTAAGTGCTGTTGAGTCAGTTTCGACTCATAGTGGACCTGTATAGGGTTATCAAGGAGTGGCTGGTGGGTTTGAGCTGCCGATCTTGGGGTTAGCAGTCCAGTCCTGATCTATAGGCCATATGAAGACTCCTCTATCTAGATTTCCTGTAATATGGTAGAAAACTCTTAACTTGGAATGCTTTACTATCATACCATGCATAAATTTAAAAGAGTATAAATATTTAAAATTTATATTTTGCTTTAGGGCAGACTTTCTGTTTTGGAAGTCTGTACAAAGAACATGCCAGTGGAGCCTGATGTTTCTTTAGAAAACCTAGCAGCAGAAACCTGTTTTTTCTCTGGAGCTGATCTTAGGAACCTCTGCAAAGAAGTGAGTGAGTTAATGAAGACACTTGTGGCTCACTTGTTGGATCTTTCCCCGTGTATTGGATCTTCATTGACTTGGCAGTGTTTATCAAAAGATTTTGATGTGACAAGCACCTTCCCCTAATAGAGCTGACAGAAGGGTGGGGGAGACAGGGATTGAGTATGTGTGTGTGGGGACGTTTAGAGTGCTGTGGGAGGATCCCAACCAAGACTTGGGGAATCAGAGAAGACTGAGATGGTGTGTAAACTGAAACCTGAAGGATGATTAGGGAGTTAGTCAGGCAGAGTCAGAGAAAGGAGAGTCGAAGGCAGAGGGATTAAAATGGGCAGAGGATTGAAGAGAAGAGATGAAATGACATCACTGAATCAGAAAGTAGAAAATTGCAAAAATGTTGTTGTTGTTGTTAGGTGCCATCGAGTTGGTACCAACCCATAGCGACCTTATGCACAGCAGAACGAAACACTGTCCTATCCTGAGCCAACCTCACTACTGTTGCCACACTTGAGTCCACC